TGCAAAATATTTGTTTAACTGTGCAAAGATGTGTTACAATTGTTTAACTATGTAAAGATGTGTTGCTGTTTACCTTGCCTGACTAAGGTACTGATGGGGGAAGTCCTGTGTATATTTCAATAAAGCACTGTTGGCCAATAGGGAACCAAGATAGGTAGGACTAGGAGTCCAGGAGGACTCTGGGAAGGAGAAACACAGAGAGTCAAGATGTAACGCCATGGAGTAGGAAGCCCGGAACTATTCTCAGGTAAGAGAAATACTTAGATTAGCAATTATGGGATAAATACTTAAGTCAGAGCTAGCCAGTAAGAAACAAGCAAGGCCAACAGCTTCATAATTAATATAGCCTCCTGTGTGTTTATTTGGGACTGATGCGGCTCTGGAACCAGGCTGGCAGGAAGGCTTCTCTCAAGGAAAAGGCTTCTCTTTACATAATGGTGATCAGGAGTGGGATGATGAATTTCCACGTAAAATAACAAAAGCTTTAAAGGAATTTTAGAAACAAAAGAACAGAGAGAAGCACGGCTTTTTGGTAGCAGCATTTTCTCAGGTGGGCTCTGTTTTGCTAGCAACAAGCAGAGATTCACTCGGCGCGCTTAAGGGAGTCTTCCTCAGCATAAAAAAAAGCAAGGTTCTTTTAAGAGGCTCTGCTAACAATGAAAGGTGTGTAAGCACAGCTGGAAGTGGCAGTGACCACATCTCCAAGCTGGCAGCTGGAGTCACGCTTACGCCCACCATCTTGGAAAAACTGCAGTTTAAACAGCTACGGTTTTAACAGATAAGACACGTGGCCAGAAAAACATAAAGATTTATAGTAAAGTCAGATTGGATGAACAAAACCTCTAAAGGTTTACAGTGTGTTTAAAAATATACGTAAGATTGAGAGACAAAAAGAAACGGCAAAGTGATAAATAAATAGAGAAGCCGGCTGTGGTGGCGCACGCCGGTAGGAATTGCTGCAGAGGCAGAGGCAGGCAGATTTCCAAAGAGAAACCCTGTCTCAGCGAAAAAGAAATAAAAGTAAAAGAAATAGAGTAATAATAGATAAATAAATAAGCCACGTAAAGATGGAAAATACACAGAGAGTCTGGATACTGTACACTATTGTGTTTTTCAGTTTTTTGATTGCTCAGGAAGGAACAACTGCTAAAGTACACTTGATTATAAATACTGCTGAATTAATTCAACTTATATCTTTTGAAAATGCCTTGACTTCAAATTTTAAGTATAAGGATATGTTACTTGGGAAAGGAGATTATGTTTATGTTTCTACAGAAAATGAAAAGTTGAGGATTGCTGGGCGTTGGTGGCACACACCTTTAATCCCAGCACTCGGGAGGCAGAGGCAGGTGGATCTCTGTGAGTTCAAGGCCAGCCTGGTCTACAGAGTGAGTTCCAGGACAGCCTCCAAAGCCACAAAGAAACCTTGTCTCGAAAAACCAAAAAAAAAAAAAAAAAAAAAAAGAAAGAAAGAAAGGTTGAGGATTCCTTCCAGGCTTCTGTGGTTTGATGAACCAAGACCCCCGGAAGCAGTGGGCCAGGCGTTTCAACAATTGAGATAGCTAAGATGATGGAGCTTTACAGACCACGAAAATAAGGACTTATACAGGTTTCTGAGTTTTGCCATGATCCCCATGGTATGAACAGCGCCCCCTTCCAGCACGAAGCAGTTTGGAATGAGCGACGTCCTAATTCCCATCTTGTTTATAAATCTTTGTTTTCATTTAAATGGGGTTGTTTATAATTGGTTAATGATCACAGCCAATCTCTTTTTAATGGTAAAAAGCAGAATTATGGTATGGATATGGTTTTTCACTTTTTGATACAAATTCAAGGTCAATTTTGTGATATGTATATTTTGCCTCTTGATTAAATATTGTGTTTATACTAATCTTTTAAAACATAATGCATAATTAAATATAGATTATAGATAGTTACTTATAATAGTCAGAATTTATAGTTAGGTAAGTTAGGTTTTCTAGATATACAGACATATATTTGAGATAGATATACAGTCTTCAAACCTCTCAAAGACCTTCAGAAAATGGCATTTAAAATGGTTTGGGGTTTTTCTTGACAATGAGAAACATCTGCTCCTGGCAGAACCAATTACGTCTGAGAGGAAGATGGGCATCGAAGAAACTTGTTATGGAGTTTGCTTTCAACATGGCAATATTAGCCATTTGGGCAAGAAACTGCTCTTGCCTAGACTGTTTGACTGTTGCTGTATAAACTGGACATGCAGGACCCACAGTAAAGTGACTGCTGAACTCAGTCTTACAGGGTTCCTGCTTCATGGAAGAGTCTACGAGACTTTCTGCAGGACACAGAGAAATGACTGACAGACTGCCAATGCAGATGGACAATTTTGAAATTTCCTGCTTTGCTGAGAAATCTTCTGGATACATTGTGGCCTATGGGCTGAAGATGGATGCCCCAACGTTACAGAGGAACTTTGGGTGACTGTCCAGGTAGCAAGATGTCTCTGTCAATCCTAGTGTTTATATATTATCCTTCTGTGGTCTTTGATAGAGTTGAAGGCAGATAGTTATAGTTATAGTTTTCCTTAGTTATAATAAAAGATAAGCTACATATAGGACTTTGGACTCACAAGAATGGGATAGATGATATTTTCTTTAAATCTTGCTAAATGTTGATAGACAAAATATTGTAACTGTGTTCTTACTTGATAACTGTTCTGTTGTATATAATTTGACTATGTTAAAGACCTTTCTTTTTGTTTAGACACAAAAGAGGAGATGATGGGAGAAGTTCTGTGTATATGTCAATAAAGCACTGTTGGCCAATAGGGAACCAATATAGGTGGGACTAGGAGTCGAGGAGGACTCTGGGTAGGAGAAAAACAGAGAGTCAAGATGTAATGCCATGGAGTAGGAAGCCCGGAAACCTCTCCAGTAAGAGAAATACTTAGATTAGCAATTATGGGATAAATACTTAAGTCAGAGCTAGCCAGTAAGAAACAAGCAAGGCCAACAGCTTCATAATTAATATAGCCTCCTGTGTGTTCATTTGGGACTGATGCGGCTCTGGAACCAGGCTGGTGGGAAGGCTTCTCTCAAGGAAAAGGCTTCTCTTTACAAGGTACCCAATTGGTCTAATAAAAAGCTGAAGAGTCAATACCGAGGGAGTAAGTAAGAGGGGGAATTTAGGCTGGGTAGGAGGAGAAACAGAGACGAAACACCAGGGGCCAGCCATCCAGATGCAGAAGAAGCAGGAAAGCAGGACGTACACAGTGAAAGAAAGGTAAAAGTCCCAAGGCAAAGTGCAGGCGAAGAGAAACCGGTTAAAGTCAGTTAGAAGAGCTGGCGGGACAAGCCTAAGCTAGGCCAAGCATTCACAATTGATACTAAGTCTCCATCTCTTTATGTGTGAGCTGGCTGGTGGCCCCCAAAATTCCAACAACAGGTCTCCATGTTCCAAGTGACCCCCATCTTGCCCCACGTCCTCCCTTCTGAGGTGGACCATGCTGGCCCCTACTGCAGATCACTCTGCTGTGATCACAGTTCATGCTGGCATCATCGCCTCAGACACAGAACACTGGACTTACGCCCGAGTCTCCCCTTTGGTGCTGGGATGGAATATGAGATGGATGGGATGTGGTAGGAACCCTGACTGGAGCTTGAGTCGCCCAGGGTGACCTCAGAATCACTCTGTTTAGCTGAGCATGGTGGGAGGCTTATGAAGAGGGCTGCCATGGATTCAGGCCAACCAGAGTACAGAATGAGTGCAGTATGCCCTCGGACACTCGGCAAGACCCTGCGTGAATGAAGTGTAAAATGGGCTGGTGTGGAGCCTCTCTTTAGAATACCCTAGTGGTTCGGTGTTAGGTTCTGGATTCTGGCCCAAGAACTACACAACAAAGAGGAGGGGAGATTTGGAAGAAGACGCCCGGGTACACATTACCCTGTGACATGGGCACACCCTTGGGTCTGCTTGTATAAGCAGGCCACACCCAGGACCTTGGCGGTCAAGGTTGGCAAGTGTCTTGTGGAGAATTCTTCCTTGTCTGTAGGAGCTCATCATCCTATATCTTGACCTGGTAATACGGTCTGTCTCCACACCTGAGGCTGTCCTGGAACTTCTGACAATCCCCTGCCGCCCTGGTCTCCTGATTTGGGCTCCTGGCATGTTCCTCCATGTCCAGACATGAATTTAAATGCATATGTTTCCTCGCTGAAAAAACTGCGTGTGCACAGGTGTGTGTGCGGACACAGAGAGCCCCGCCTCCCTTACACTTTCCTTCAGTTGCTCTCCACCTTGGTTTTTGTGACAGGGACTCTCCCTGAACCTGGGATTGCTGACTAAGGAGGCCCAGCGGGAAGGTGAGTTCCAGGCACCCTCCTGCGTTCAGTACTAACTCACAAAAGAGCTGCACATGCCTGACCCCTGGACCGTTGCCCTGAGGCTCTGTCGACCTGACTCAGGCTCTTCCAGAAGAACAGCAGTCACACTGCTCACGGAGCCACCTCCCCATTTCATCTGCCACGTGTAGTGATATTTTGTTTGTGCCCTAACAAATAAAGCTTACCTGGAGATCAGAGGGTGGAGCTAGCCATTAGTTAACCATAGAGGTCTGGAGGTCTGTACAGACAGACAGGAAGTGATAAGGCGGATGGAGACAGGAGCTTGGCCCTTTTTCGGCTGAAAAGGTGACGAGGTGGCTATGGCTTGCTCTTTTGTCTCTCTGATCTTTCAGAATTTACCGCTGTACCTGACTCTGGGGTTTCTAGTAAGACCAACTAGAACGCGTGCTACAGCTCCTGCTTCTAGTCCTTGAGGGGGATGCAGGCACGGAGACATCGGGAAACCAGATAGGCACACACAGGAGACATGGTGCCGTCTTCGTTCAGGTGTTCTCGTACCCCTCTGACCAGGTGCACCACGGCCCCCCTGCTAGACTTTCCACCCTGCACGCAACTCCAGACAACCATCCGCACCCTGAAACCTAGCTCGCGTTTCTGCGCACTCTGTAAGCTTACAGGAGGAGTCTTCCATTGCGCCGCCCAGCAGCTCCGCCCCGGTGTCTTCAGGAAGCGGTCTGTGCAGGAACCAGTGTCAAAAAACACAGCAGTAGGAATGCAGATGACAGATCCAGCCGAGGGTTAGAGAAAAGAAGAGGAAGAAAATGCACTCAGATCAAGAAGAAACAGTAATGCCCCAGACTCTGCTCTTCCTTGGAACTGTTGGCTCAGGTAGCACCAGTATAGAAAGAGGCCTTCCAGGAGAGTAATGCCCTTAGCCCCTCACTGGGGATTCTAGGCTGGGCTCCACCCTGACCACGCCCCCAGCCCCTCACTGGGGATTCTAGGCCGGGCTCCACCCCTGACCACGTTTCTTCATTAACTTTTTGATACAAGGTCTTGCTCTGCACACCGAGTTGACTCGAACTCTTTCTCTGGTTCCTTCTGTGGAAGCTGAGCTACAAGGCTCAGTCATCACTCCAAGCCTGGCTATAGGAATTCACTGTCTGGGAGTCTTGGAAGAAGAGGTTCCCGAAGGTTCTGTCACCATCAGTAACATCTGCTGACGCTTCCAGGAGCCAGAGAGATCCCAGGACACTGGCGCCCTCACCTGGGCAGATCCTCATCCTGCCACTCATCCCTGACATCCACATTTTCCATCCTCAGCGTGGCTTCGGTGGTCCCCATGGGAGCTGGAAAGAGAGGCCGGCTGGAAGCCTGGGTGACACGGAGAAGGATCTGCGGAAGGGACAGACTGGTGTAGACAGCCGTGACTACAGCCCCCACCTCTGCCTGAGTCTGCGTGCATGATTGAGCCAGCCCACAGCGGGAGGATTCCTGTCTCCTGAGGAGCACACGCAAGGGACACCCGGCCGGAACGCAGGCGAGGAGTTGAGCCCCCAGGTACGCCCCCTCCATTGGAACCTCTCAAGTCCACCTTCCCCAGAGCAACCCCGGACCCAAACTGACTCGTCCTCCCGCTTCTCCTCGGAGCTCACCTGCGGAGGCAAGCCAAGAGAACCGGCTCGCGGGCTGCACCTGCCTCATGCTCTACCTGCCAGCGCCGAATGGCCTGAGTGAGTCATGGCTTCTTGGGCTGTCCTCCAAGCCTATCACCCCTGGCTCCATCACTCTATAAAAATCATTTTATTTGCAGGTATGCCTATGCCGGCGCAGGTCAGAGGTCAACAACAGGGTCCCCCTCCGTCACTGTGTCTGTTTGTGCAGCTCTGGCTCTGGAAGTCCCTCTGCCTCACTTACATTTTGAGGAGGGTCTGTCTCCACCTGAACCTAAGCACAGAGCCCTCGACCCACAGTCTCGGCCTCTCCAGGGATGGGGTTACGTTTTTGTCCTCCAGCTTTATTGTGTGTGTGTGTATGGTGTGTGTGTGTGTGTGGTGTGTGTGTGTGTGATGTGTGTGTGGTGTGTGTGATGTGTGTGTGCATGTGTGTGTGGTGTGTGTGTGCATGTGTGTGGTGTGTGTGCATGTGTGTGTGGTGTGTGTGTGGTGTGTGTGCATGTGTGTGGTGTGTGTGCATGTGTGTGTGGTGTGTGTGCATGTGTGTGTGCATGTGTGTGTGGTGTGTGTGCATGTGTGTGGTGTGTGTGTGGTGTGTGTGCATGTGTGTGTGGTGTGTGTGCATGTGTGTGTGGTGTGTGTGCATGTGTGTGGTGTGTGTGCATGTGTGTGTGGTGTGTGTGCATGTGTGTGTGGTGTGTGTGCATGTGTGTGGTGTGTGTGTGTTGTCTGCATGTATATCTGCACATCTGCCTAGTGCTCTGGTCGTCAAAACTGGGGCGTGGTGGCGCAGACTTTAGTCCCAGCACTCGGGAGGCAGAGACAGGAGGATCTCTGAGTTCGAGGCCAGCCTGGGCTACAGATTGAGTTTTAGGATAGCTAGGGCTACACAGGGAAACCCCATGTTGAACTCCCTCTACGAGAAAAAAAAGACCCCTTGGAGCTGGGTTACAGACAGAACTCGGGTCTTCTGATAGCAGCCAGTGCTCTAACCATCGAGCAATCTCCCCAGCCCAGGCTGTGATTACAGTTGGGGGGGGAGGGAGGGAGTCTCGGTCTGTGTAGCCCCACCTCAGCCTCTGAGCGCGGGGATTAAAGCTATGCTATACCTTGCTAGTTTTGATCACCTTTTTAATTAGTTGCCTGTTTTGTCTGTGGGGTGTGTGTGCACACTGCGGAGTTTCAGGGGGGTCAGAGGACAGTTTGGAGTCAGCCCCCTCACTCCCCCACTAGGGTCCCAGGGAGCAAAGTCAGGTGGTTGGCATGGCAACAGTTCTGAGTTCCCAGAAGCATGTGGCTTTTTCTGTAGGTGCCAGGGATTGAACTGAGTCCTCATGGTTTTACCGCCAGCGCGCTACTCCCTAAACTGCCTCCTGAGCCCCCCTGGGATGCTGTGTGGACTCACCAGACTGAGGGAAGCGCATCGTGTTGGAGGCCAGTGTTTCGACACAGACAACCTCCCCCCACACACAACTAAAGACGCCCCCAAACCAAACTCTGGTACCAACTGGGCCACGTCTGTGAAATCGTGATTTTTCTCCTAATTCCTTATTGACAACAGGATTCCAGGGCCCAGTCATGGGATGCCACCCTAGCCGGTTCCCTGGTCGGGAGGCAAGGGCCACTTGCTTGTCCCGGATGTCACTGCCCACCAGGCCATCTGCTGGTGGCTGGGGCGTGTCTCCCGCAGCCAGGAGGACTGGCCTGCAGGTGTTGACCAAGCCTGGCAGATTAAGGAGCCCGAGGGGGGGCGGGACCGACTTGACTGTCGTCACCCATTCATGGGGAGCGACAACGAGAGACAGCGAGAAACGAGTCCCCGTTTGCTCCAGGCCTTGCTCGGAGCCGAGCCCAGTGCATTGTGTCTGTGCAGGGAGGGGACACGGGTCCCTCATCCCCATCTACACACTGCCAAACACTGGGTGTGGTGGGTCTCGGGGCACCGGCTACAATGAGGGACCAGGAATCCCCGCAAGTCCAGGAAAAACAGCGCGGTGCCTGGCCCCGGGGCCGCTGCTAAGAATCTGTCCTTTTCAATGTATATGTAATTTTGACGTCTCCAAGCCCGCAGTCAGGGTTATAAATAGAAAACACCCGACACCGCATGGGAGGTTTACCGCCCCCAGGGTGCTCAGGCTCGGATCCGGGGCTGTAATCCTTGTGGTCTGCATTCTCCACCCAGGATCGAGCCCAGGCCGCTCGCCCCAGCTGTTCGCCCCATCGCAGCATCCACGCCGAGAGCCCCTAGTGCTTCTCGGATAAACCTTTCCCCTTGCTGGGCAGCGAGCGGAGAAAAAAAATGACAATTTTTATTTCCAGTTTGCAAACGGCCCACTCACCCCGGCGGCGGTTCCGCGCTGTCACAGAAACACAAAGGCGGGCCGGGCCCGGATGCAGGCTGGCATCTCGCGGGTGGTACCCAGCCTAGGGCCTGGCGGAAGGATGCAAGTCCACATCCGAGGAAGGTCACCTAGGGCGACGTGGCCAGCGGCACCGTGGCTCCCCGACCCGGCTGCAGAAGGGGGCGCCCGGGTCAGAGGCGGCGCCCCTGGCCCCCCGCCGTCTCCATGTCCCCCGCCATCGCAGCCCCGACCTTCCCGGACGGCTGAGGCTCTGCCTGCCCCCAGATAGTGAGGGAAGCTGCTTTTGTGTGCAGGGGGCGGGCCCAGGCCTGACAGACAGTTCCAGCTCCCCCTGCTCGCATCCTCCTTTCCCCATTGGCTGAGGGGAAAGCAAATCTCCCAGCCGCGTCCTAAGCAGGTGCAAGAAAAAACAAAAAACAAAAGAACCTCTGGGATGGTGCATTGCACGTATGCGAAATCACGAGAAACGGAAAACAGCGGCGGCCTGGTTCCTTAGGAGCGGGGGCGGGGAGCCTGCAGGGCTCTGTGGCGGGGAGAAGAGGCGCCCTTGAAACCGTCTTTGAGGGCAGGGAAGTGGAGGTTTTCAGATTCCCTTTCAAGGGTGAGCCAAAAGGTCTCCGAGCCAGGACGCGGCAGGATGCTGGGGTGCACGGGCCTGGCTGATTGGATCTGCGCTGCCGCGGGAACGGCGCCCCCTGCAGGTTTCCCGAGGGATTCTGGGCGCACAGGGATGGCGAGAGGGCTCAGTTTGCACCCCGGGCGCTGAGGCACGGGTAATGGCAGCTCGAGGCCCGGCAGACTGCGCCGTGAGGCCAAGGTCTCGGGAGTGAGAAGAGGAGCTCGTGGGGATGGCCCAGTGGGTAGAGCGCTCGCTGTGCAAGCGTGGGGGCGTGGCCAGGGTGCAGCCCCGCCTAGGATCCCAGCGAGGGGCGGGGCCCTGGGAAGAGCGGGTTTCCGGCTGAGAGCTGTCAGCGTCTCCGGAAGGTGAGAGCGGCCCCCACAGCATGGGCGAGCGCGTGCTCGGCGCCGCGGCCTCGCTCGGGGCTGGTTCGCGCGGGCAGCTCCCACACGGAGCTCTTCTCGGTGAGCGCGGAGTCCGTCCGTGTGTCAGTGCGGCGACGTTCCCTCCCTTCCTCTGGGCTGAGCAATACTCCACTCTGCGTGTTTCCCTCGGTGCCAGCCGCGCGCGCCCGACCCTGTCGGGGACGCCCGGGGGCCGAAACCAAGGGCACAATAGGAGCAAAGGCCGCGTGTGACCCCGGGAAATTGCCGCGGCCGCCCCGCCTCCTAGGAAGACGCCGACCCCGGGGGCGGAGCGTTGGCCGGTGGGCGTGGCTACGCGAGGCCCTCCGTGGGTGGGGGGACATGGGCGGGTCCCGGGCGGCGGGGGCGGGTCCTGGGGGGCAGGGCCGTGACGTCACTCCCGCGGGCTCCGGGAGGACGCGGACATGGCGGCCAGCGGCTCTTCCGGCCTCGCGCAGGGCGCCGGCCCGTCGTCCAGGTAACGAGCCCCGCGGGCGGCGCGGCGCCCCAACCCCGCGGGCTGCGGTCGGGAGCCGCGGGGAGCGGGGCGGGCCCGGGGCGGGGCGACGGTCCCTGGGGTCCGCGGGAGGCGGGGCGGGGTAGCGAGGAACGGCGGGCTGGGTGGGGGCGGGGACCCGTGGGGACCGAGCCCGCCTAGGAGCGAGCGACTTGGGTTGCGGAGGGTGGGGCCTGGAAGACGGGGCTGGGGAGGGGGCTGACCTCGGAGAGGGCCTGAGACCTTGGGGAACCTGCCACGCGCGCATGGGTGGGTGGGGGTCTGGAGCCTGATGGACGGAATTGGCGTTCTCCGCGTTTAATGGGTGGGGCCTCCACTGGGACCGAGGCAGAGGCTCTGGGGTCTGATGGCTGGGGACACTCCTGACGGGGATGGAGCCTGGGGCTTTGATGTCTAACGGATGGGAAAATCCTCCAGATGGGGAGGAGGGGGAGTTCTGGTCCTGAGGGATGAGGGACTTCCAGGGTGGGGAAGCAGTAGAAGGCCTGGTGCCCAGTAGATGGGACCCTCCACACAGGGGTGGATGGGGTTCAGGTTTATGATGGATGGGGTTCAGGTTTATGATGGATGGGGTTCAGGTTTATGATGGATTGGGGGTTCAGGTTTATGATGGATGGGGTTCAGGTTTATGATGGATGGGGTTCAGATTTATGATGGATTGGGGGTTCAGGTTTATGATGGATTGGGGGTTCAGGTTTATGATGGATTGGGGGTTCAGGTTTATGATGGATTGGGGGTTCAGGTTTATGATGGATTGGGGGTTCAGGTTTATGATGGATTGGGGGTTCAGGTTTATGATGGATTGGGGGTTCAGGTTTATGATGGATTGGGGGTTCAGGTTTATGATAAATGGGGACCCTCCACACAGGGGTGGATGGGGTTCAGGTTTATGATGGATGGGACCCTCCAGGTGGGTATCATTGGGGTTCTGGTAAAGTGAGCTCTAGTCTTTGGAAGTCAGTAAAAGTATGGACCAGATGGTAGAGGCCTCCAACGCCAGCTCCTAGGGTGAGAGGCTGGGGTAGGTGGAAGTCTGGAGTTCAAGGCTAGCCTGAGCTACAGACCCTGTCTCTAAACAAGTCAGTCACTGCCAAGTTAGTAGGGGAAAAGGAACTTGGACGTGTATCGGGAGTTGAGGGCTGTGACAGCCCCCATTAGCAGGTGTCTTATTCGGGTTACTGTGTGTTGACACACCACCGCCAAACCTGGTGACTTGGCCTGAGGTCAGATGGACTGTTTAGAAAAGAAAGGAAAAGACCACAGTCAACAGCAGGTTGGGGAGGAAACGGTTTATTCAGCTCACACTTCCATAATACTTCATCACTGAAGGGGTCAGGACAGGAACTCGGGGGCCCGGAGGCGGGAGCGACTGCGGAGGCTGTGGCGGGGGGGCGCTTATTGACTTGCTCAACCTGCCCTCTTCTAGAACCCAGAACCAGCAGCCCAGGGACCGCCCCACCCACCATGGGCTGGGCCCTCCCGCACTGATCTCTGAGAAAACGCCTCACAGCTGCATCTCAGGGAGGTTTCCTCTCTGATGACTCTAAAATGTCAGATTGACGAAAGTATCCTGCACAATTGATCCCTTGTCATCCTGACACACTGACACGACATTATTTAGCAATAAATTCTGTTTTGTTCGTCCCCAAGATCTCATATCAATAAATATCACAATATAAAACATGTTGCAGACTTCTTTTCCAATCAGTGTAAAATCCAGTCCCCTCTGGGGCTGGAGAGATGACCTAGTGGCCACAGCACAGCTGCCCTTACAGGGGACCTGGGTTTGGCTCCCAGCACCCACATGGTGGCTCTTAACCCTCTGTCGTCCCCTGTGGCCTCTGCAGGTAAGGCACGTATGTGGTGCACAAATTTCCCTCAGGCAAAGACCATGTACACACAGAGTAAAAACAAACCTTTTAAATTATACAATAAAATTCAGTCTCTGAGCCAGACAGTGGTGGCACATTCCTTTAATCCCAGAACAGAGGGGTAGATGCAGGCAGATCTCTGTGAGTTCAAGGCCAGCCTGGTCTACAAAGCGAGTTCCAGGACAGCCAGGGCTACACAGAGAAACCCTGCCTCAACAAAACAAAATAACAACAGCAACAATAGTAATAACAATAATTAATGAAATCTGAAGCCTTTGTGAAACTCCAGGATCTCTTTAAATTTCAAAGTCTCTCAACTGTGTGCTCCCGTAAAATCAAACAATTAACTCTCTACTACAAGAGGGAAGAACCAGGGCACAGTCCCCGTTGGAACAAGGGAAAACCAGACTCCAGCAGTGTAAACAACTCGATGTCGCTTCTCCGGCCACGCCCATGGTGCCGGCATCTCCTCCCGTAGGCGCCCCTCAGTCCCCTCTTTTCCGGCTGTGCCTGCACCCGTGGCTTCCCCTGGCCTCTCCCAGTGCCAAGCCCTCCATGCCTTCCTAACCACCGCCACCCGGGTGACATTTACACACTACCAAGGTTGGCTACCTGTGCAGGTGTCAACTTTGACCTTGTGTGCTGGCTCCCAGGAGACGCCCAGGACGCTTCACCCTGGTGCTGCTGGCTAACTTGCTCATCACAGCTGAGTCTTTTATTCAGCTGATCAGAGCCACAGATTTTTTTCCTTTATAAAATTTAAATTAGAAACAAACTTGTTTTACATGTCAATCCCAATTCCCTCTCCCTCCCCTCCTCCCCTGCTCCCCACTAACCAACCCCCTATCCCATCCCCTTTCTGCCTCCCAGGGAGAGTGAGGCCTTCCATGGGGGATCTTCAAAGTCTGTCACATCCTTTGGAGCAGGACCTAGAGCCTCCCCTGTGTATCTAGGCTGAAAGAGTATCTCTATATGGAATGGATTTCCAAAGTCCATTCCTATACTGGGTATAAATACTGATCCACTGCCCAGGCCTCCCAAATGACACCCACATTCAGGAGGTCTGGATCAGTCCTATGCTGGCCTCTCAGCCATCAGTCTGGGGTCCATGAGCTCCCCCTTGTTCAGGTCAGCTGTTTCTGTGGGTTTCTCCAGCCTGCTCTTGACCCCTTTTCTGATCACTCCTTCCTCTCTGCTACTGGTTTCCAGGAGTTCAGCTCAGTGCCCAGCTATGGGTGTCTGCTTCTGCTTCCATCAGCTACTGGATGAAGGCTCTAGGATGGCATATAAGTAGTAATCAATCTCATTATAGGGGAAGGGCATCTATAAGGTAGCCTCTCCACTATTGCTTAGATTGTTAGTTGGGGTCATCCTTGTGGATCTCTGGACATTTCCCTAGTGCCAGATTTCTCTTTAGACCTATAATGGCTCTCTCTATTGTGGTCTCTCTTTTCTTGTTCTCTATTCTTCCCCTGACTCAACCTTCCTGCTCTCTCCTGTCCTCCTCTCCCCTCCTCTTCTCCCTTTCTCTATCTCCTAACTCCCTCTCCCAATTTTCTCAGGAGACCTTGTCCCTTTTCCCTTCTCCAGGGACCGTGTATGTCTCTCTTAGGGTGCTCCTTGTTTCCTAGCTTCTCTGTGGGTGTGGACTCTAGGCTGGTACTCCATTGCAGAGCCACAGATTCTTAATTCAGAACTGCAAATGGCCCCACAGCATCTTCCCTCTGAACTTCACAAGCCAGGCCTCCACCGGCCACACCCCGCTGTCTGTTAGAGCATCCGCCTAGCTCTTCTCTGGGGTGGTGAGCACTCTGTGGCTTCCCAGCCCTCCCAGGACATAACCAGGCCTGTCTCAGCAAACCCCATGATCTCGGCACCAGTTTCTATCCTGGTCAGGGTTACTAAGTGATGGAGCGCTGACCGAAAGCGGTCGGGTGTCCCATCACTGACCCTCATGGAGAGTGCCAGGGGCTCTGGAGGCAGAAGCTGACGCAGAGGCCAGGGAGGGGGCCGCTGCTCACTGCCCTGCTCCCATGGCTTGCTCACCTGCTTTCTTATAGAACCCAGCTCCAGCCCCCAGGAGTGGCCCCGCCCACAGTAGGCGGAACCCTCCCCATCACTCACTAAGAAAATGCCCCCCAGGCTTCCTCCTCTCTGATGACTTCAGCTTGTGTCCAGTTGACCTGAGTCTGAAGCTGCCCAGGAAAAGTGGTGGCCGCTGCCTGTCCCTTGGAGCCACTCCAAAGGCCTCTGCCTGCTAGCTGTCACCTGCCACGGTGGAAACCTCTGACTTCTCAGCCTGGGACTCCTCAGCTGTGACCCCCATTTTTACTGATTCAGAACTCACAACACCGTGGGACGTTGGTGTCAGGGGCCTGCTGTGTCTCCTGCTCCCACCGGGCTCTCTGAGCTCAGGGTCCCTGGTGACCACAGGTGGGTAGAGCACACATTAGCATGCAGGTGGCTTTGGGGTCCCTAGCAGAGTAACAGGGAAATCCCATCCTCAGTGTCCCCGAAGGGCTCCCTGGTCCTCCCTGGTCTGGACGGCCCTGTCTTCCCTGTGCCTGGCTGTTGGTGCTGTCTTCCCGGCGGTCAGGGCACTGGAGGCCTTGCTGAAGTTCAGCACTGCACTTGCAGGGACAGAGCTGGGCTGACTCTCAGCACCCAAGATGCTTCGCAGTCTCTGCCTTCAGTGAAGGATCCCAGCGCCCTCTGCTGGCCCCTGTGGACACCAGCCACACAAGTGGTACCACTAACAAAAACCCACATGTGTAAAATACAGATAAAAACACAACAACTCAACAGCTCGGGGGCTGGAGAGATGGCTCAGAGGTTAAGAGCACTGACTGTTCCTCCAGGGGTCCTGAGTTCAATTCCCAGCAACCACATGGTGGCTCACAACCATCCGTAATGAGATCTGGTGCCCTCAGGGGTACATGGAGGCAGAACACTGAGTACATAATAAGTAAAAATCTTAAAAAAAAAAAAAAAGGCGTGTGCCATCACGCCCAGGAGTAACTTATTTAAAAAAACAAAAACAAAAACAAAAAAAACCACCAGCTCAAGCCAGGCGTTGGTGGCGCACGCCTGTAATCCCAGCACTCGGGAGGCAGAGGCAGGTATGGATCTCTGTGAGTTCATGACCAGCTTGGTCTACAGAGCGAGTTCCAAGACAGCCTCTAAAACAATACAGAGAAACCCTGCCTCAAAAACAAAACAAAACAAAACACAACAGCTCACCATAGCCCAGGCTAGCCTAGAACTCACAGTCTTGCAGCCTCAGCCTCCAGAATGTCTGGGTAGTCAGGCCTGCACCTCCATGCCTGGTTGCAGGTGTGCTCACCTCCCTGAGTTTCTTGGCTGCTGCACAAGTGTGAGGACCCCGGTTCGAATCCCCAGCACCCGTCTACAATGTCAGGCAAGATGCCACCCTCCTGTGTACCTGGTGTTGGGGAGGCAGACACAAGAGGATCTCTAGGGCCTGTTGATGACGCCATCCAGTTAGTGTGAGCTCCAGGGACAGAGTGTGGCCTACGTGGCTGGCCTGGCCAAGCGCTTGCTCTGGGGGTCACGTACCTCAGACCCAGCTAACCCACTCTGCCTTTGTGTTCTGGTGACTCCAGCACCCCGCCGTTCTCCGCTTTCCCTCTCCCGGCTCCTGGGGCCACCCCTGCCATGCAGTCCACCCCTGGGATGGAGAGCACTGCCAGCCGGGCCCTGGCCCCTGCCACCCAGCCACCTGCACCTGGAGGAGGAGTCCCAGTGGGGTGTGGCTGCTCCCGGCCCCGCTCCAGCCAGGACTCCATAGCAAGCAGCCGTCCCCAGGATCCTGTCCCCGTGGCCACTGCCGCACCCACCCACCAGGTACCGCAGCGCCGCCTCGTGCAGCAAGACTTTCCTTTGGTTTACATGAGTGTGTTGCCTGCGTGTGTCTGCATTCCATGTGTGTTCAGTGTCCACGAAGACTGGAAGAGGGCCTCCGACCCCGGAGCTGGAGCTGCAGGAGGTTGTGAGCTGCCCTGAGGGTGCTGGGAACCGAACTGGGTCCTCTGTGGGAGCAGCCTGTGCTCCAGCCACTGGGTATCCCCAGCCCCGCCCACATGGGGGAGCAGCCTGTGCTCTGGCCACCTGGTATCCCCAGGCCCCCACAAGGAAAAATGTATCACATGGGGACGTGCATGGTGTCTCTGACATCAGCTATGTCAGAGCTGCATTTCTAGGTCCCTGCTCTAGGGTAACAGGAGCCACCACGATGACACCTCCCAGGGAGCCCTGAGGGATTTCTGGAGACACTGAGTACAGAGCTGTGGTCCAGAGGGGTGGTGGCCCCAGGAGGAGCCTGCATGGCTCCGAGAGACTCCCCTCTGGCAGGCAGTGATGATGGGGTACCAGGACATGGTGTCTGCTGTGTCACCTCCCCACCACAGCCCCCTCTGCTGTCACCCCTGACTTGCACTGCCAACACTTGGATCAGGCCACACCCGGACGCCTGGCTTCCACCCCAAGAAGAATTTCGGGGCTGGGTGGACGTGTATCGGAATTGGCGCTTTCATTCATGAGCATTTAATGGGGGGACAGGAGGGTTGAGATGGGGGCGCAGGAGGAAGTGGGTCACACCCAGCTCTGGCTTTCTAGGTAGTCTCGGAGGCTTTGGTGGCCTTTGAAGGGCAGCAGGGTTGAAGGTCACAGGGAGACAAGGGCACCTGCTGTGGGTGCCCTGTAGTGCTGGGGTGTGCATCACAGGAGGCCCGCCGTCCATGGCGAGGGGGACCCCTTCTTTCTGTCGTGCATCAGGGTCACACGCCTTTAATCCCAGCACTCGGGAGGCAGAGGCAGGCGGATCTCTGTGAGTTCGAGGCCAGCCTGGTCCACAGAGCGAGTTCCAGGACAGAGAAGCCTGTCTTGAAAAAAAATAAATAAGTGAAAAAAAAAGGGTGTGGCAAGATGGCCAGTAGGAAAAGGCACTTGTTGCTGAATTTGAGGGTTGGCATTTGATCCCTGGGACCCACATGGTAGAAGGAGAGAGCTGGCTGTCACGATTTGTCCTCAGACCTCATGCACTGTGACCCCATGCTGACTCATGGATGTGCATGCACACAGTAAATTAACACACACATGAAGTTTGTTTCTAATGGCTACACTAGCCCACCACCCTAAGTTGTTGAGTCCACAGCCTACACTACATAAGCTGGCTGAGGGGCAGCTCCTGAGAGTCAGGAGTTCAAGGTCACCCATGGCTATGTGGGAGTCCCCGGCAGTATGGGCTATGAGAACGACTTTTCCCATCAAAACACATTGCGTGAACAGAGTCCAGACCATAGAGCACTGACGTCCCATGTTTAACCACACAGACCCCCGTGTCCCCCCACTGTCCCCAGTGTCCCCCCACTGTCCCCACTGTCCCCAGTGTCCCCCCACTGTCCCCAGTGTCCCCCCACTGTCCCCAGTGTCCCCCCACTGTCCCCAGTGTCCCCCCACTGTCCCCAGTGTCCCCCCACTGTCCCCAGTGTCCACCCCACTGTCCCCAGTGTCCACCCCACTGTCCCCAGTGTCCCCCCACTGTCCCCAGTGTCCACCCCACTGTCCCCACTGTCCCCCCACTGTCCCCAGTGTCCACCCCACTGTCCCCAGTGTCCCCCCACTGTCCCCACTGTCCCCCCACTGTCCCCAGTGTCCCCCCACTGTCCCCAGTGTCCCCCCACTGTCCCCAGTGTCCCCCCACTGTCCCCAGTGTCCCCCCACTGTCCCCAGTGTCCCCCCACTGTCCCCAGTGTCCACCCCACTGTCCCCACTGTCCCCCTACTGTCCCAGTGTCCACCCCAGTGTCCCCCCCACTGTCCCCAGTGTCCACCCCACTGTCCCCAGTGTCCCCCCCACTGTCCCCAGTGTCCCCCCCACTGTCCCCAGTGTCCCCCCCAGTGTCCCCAGTGTCCCCCCCAGTGTCCCCAGTGTCCCCCCAGTGTCCCCAGTGTCCCCCCAGTGTCCCCAGTGTCCCCCCACTGTCCCCAGTGTCCACCCCACTGTCCCCAGGGTCCCCCCCCTGTCCCCAGTGTCCCCCCACTGTCCCCAGTGTCCCCCCACTGTCCCAGTGTCCACCCCACTGTCCCCAGTGTCCACCCCACTGTCCCCAGTGTCCACCCCACTGTCCCCCCACTGTCCCAGTGTCCACCCCACTGTCCCCAGTGTCCCCCCACTGTCCCAGTGTCCACCCCACTGTCCCCAGTGTCCCCCCCACTGTCCCCAGTGTCCCCCCCACTGTCCCCAGTGTCCACCCCACTGTCCCAGTGTTCACCCCAGTGTCCCCAGTGTCCACCCCACTGTCCCAGTGTTCACCCCAGTGTCCCCAGTGTCCACCCCACTGTCCCAGTGTTCACCCCAGTGTCCCCAGTGTCCACCTCACTGTCCCCAGTGTCCCACCCACCTCACTGAGCTGCTTCCTTTTTTCTGTGTCCCATGGAACTCTGCAGCAGGATGGTCACAGCTGCAGAATGTCAAAGGGGACCAGGAGCTGTGAGGACGCCTCAGAGCAGCCAGCCACGGCTTCTCTCTGCCGACCAGGTGGGTGTCAGGTCTCTGTGGGGCGGGGATGGCCATGGACCTCACAGGGGCCACTCTGATTCAGCATGGAGCACACTGTACAAGGGCAAGCAGGACACCTTCTGGCTAGACTCCCGTCTTTGTGTGTGTGTGTGCATATGTATGTGTGTGTGCGTGTGTGTGCATGTGTGTGTGTGCGTGTGCGTGCATACATATGTATATGTGTGTTTGTGTGTGCGCATGTGTGTTTGTGCATATGTATGTATGTGCATGTGTCTTTGTGTGTGTGCACATGTGTATGCGTGCTTGTGTGTTTGTGTTTGTGCTGGATTTCTGTTTGTTTGCTTGCTTTTTGGTTTTTCAAGACAGGGTCTCTCTGTATTGTTTTGGAGGCTGTCCTGGAACTCTCTCTGTAGACCAGGCTGGCCTCGAACTCACAGAGATCCACCTGCCTCTGCCTCCCGAGTGCTGGGATTAAAGGCATGCGCCACCAATGCCCAGTCAGTCTTATGTCTTTATCTGTTTGTTTTTATGCCATTTACTTTCGACGGTGTTTGTCTCGGCACGTGTAGAGGGCAGAGGACAACTTTCAGGCAGTTCTTCTATTGTGTGGGTCCCAGAGGTCGAGCTTAGACAGCAGCCCCTATCCACTGAGCCATCTTGTCAGCTCCAATCTCAGGTTTTAAATTCCACTGAGTTCTGAACTGAGCTGCAGCCCGGCCAGAAGCTCTCCCTGGGCCATGGGCGGGCACAGGCTTGCAGAGGCCATTGCAAACAGGGCCACTCAGAGAAGGCCGACCCACCAGCATGACTTGTCCTGGTGCCGCAGTGGCCATAAGTGCCCAGCCCGGGCTGCTGTCCCCACCTGGGTCCACTCTGTCCCCAGTGAGGCATCTGCTCCCTGCAGTGGATCTGCTCTGGGTAAGCCTGGCTAAGTTCTGTCTCTCTCCCTCCTAGGCCCCAGCTCCCAGCGCTGCAACCGCCCACTGAAGTCCCAGCGGGTCCCCCAGAAGCAGCAGGCCTCCCCAGCCACTCCTGTGGGCTCGGACCCCTGGGGTGGCCCAGGCCTCGGGCCTTGGGACCCCAGCTTTACCAGTGACACGCTGCCATTCCTAGACAGGCTGCCGAAGCCCACGGCAGGCCCGAGGCCATCCTCCATGCACTACTGTGAGGTCTGCAGGGTCAGCTGCGCGGGGCCACAGGTCAGGACTGGCAGTGGGTGGCTCAGTGTCTCCGTCTGTCAAAAACAGTGGCAGGTGTGGTGTAGCCTGTCACATCCGCAGTGAAGGCAGGGGTGGGGTGGAAAGGGATAGGAGAGGGGGGATCAGGAATTCAGGTCATCCTCAGCTACATGGTCAGGTTGAGGCCAACCTGGGCTACGTGAGCCCTGTTTCAGCCAGCCCTCTACAGGCCCCAGGGTATTCCCAGCCCCCATGGGTGTGTCCCATACCCTGTAACCATGGTTCCTGGGACAAGTGCCCCCTGCTGGCCATGCAGAGCACAGTCACACGCAGGCAACACACCCCAGGAAGAATTCAATTAAATTTACTAACAACGTGGTGGAAAAGAAAACAATGAGATAACCTGTCAGAATGATGGGCTCGCATCCAGAGACGCTTCATGTCATATGTCTGTCTGACAACACACACACACACACACACACACACACACACACGACATATCACACACAGATACACGCCACACACAGATACACACACACAATATATCACACACAGATACACACACCACACACACAGATACACACCACACACAAAGACTCACACAGATACACAGACACACACCACACACACAGATATACATCACACACATAGACAGACACACACCACACACAGACACACACCACACACACAGATACACACCACACACAGACACACACCACACACAGACACACACCACACACACAGACACACACCACACACACAGATACACACCACACACAGACACACACCACACACACAGATACACACCACACACAGACACACACCACACACACAGATACACACCACACACACAGACACACACCACACACAGATACACACCACACACACAGATACACACCACACACACACACCACACACAGACACACACCACACACACAGATACACACCACACACAGACACACACCACACACACAGATACACACCACACACAGACACACACCACACACACAGACACACACCACACACACAGGTACACACCACACACACAGACACACACCACACACAGATACACACCACACACACAGATACACACCACACACAGACACACACCACACACAGACACACACCACACACACAGACACACACCACACACATAGACAGACACACACCACACACACACACAGACTCACACCACACACAGATACACACCACACACAGATACACACCACACACATAGACACTCACCACACACAGATACACACCACACACATAGACAGACACACACCACACACAGATATACACCACACACATAAACAGACACACACCACACACAGACACACACCACACACACAGACTCACACCACACACAGACACATACCACACACAGACACACACCACACACACAGACTCACACCACACACAGACACACACCACACACAGACACACACCACACACAGATACACACCACACACACAGACACACACCACACACAGACACACACCACACACAGATACACACCACACACAGACACGCACCACACACAGACACACACCACACACAGATACACACCACACACACAGACACACACCACACACAGACACACACCACACACAGATACACACCACACACATAGACAGACACACACCACACACAGACACACACCACACACACAGATACACACCACACACAGACACACACCACACACAGACACACACCACACACAGATACACACCACACACACAGACACACACCACACACATAGACAGACACACACCACACACAGACACACACCACACACACAGATACACACCACACACAGACACACACCACACACAGACACACACCACACACAGATACACACCACACACAGACACACACCACACACATAGACAGACACACACCACACACAGACACACACCACACACATAGACAGACACACACCACACACAGACACACACCACACACACAGATACACACCACACACAGACACACACCACACACACAGATACACACCACACACAGACACACACCACACACAGACACACACCACACACACAGACACACACCACACACATAGACAGACACACACCACACACACACACAGACTCACACCACACACAGATACACACCACACACAGATACACACCACACACATAGACACTCACCACACACAGATACACACCACACACATAGACAGACACACACCACACACAGATATACACCACACACATAAACAGACACACACCACACACAGACACACACCACACACATAGACAGACACACACCACACACAGACACACACCACACACACAGACACACACCACACACACAGACTCACACCACACACACAGACACACACCACACACACAGACTCACACCACACACAGACACACACCACACACACAGACTCACACCACACACAGACACACACCACACACAGACACACACCACACACAGATACACACCACACACACAGACACACACCACACACAGATACACACCACACACACACAGATACACACCACACACAGACACACACCACACACACACAGACACACACCACACACAGATACACACCACACACAGATACACACCACACACAGACACACACCACACACACACAGACACACACCACACACAGATACACACCACACACAGATACACACCACACATAGATACACACCACACACACAGACACACACCACACACAGACACACACCACACACAGATACACACCACACACAGACACACACATACTCCCGAGTCCTCAAAGGGCAGGCCTGCAAGCCCACATCTGACTCCTGGGGATAAAACTTAGGTCTTTGTCCTGAACGTCATCCCCAGACTGGAAAAGCCAGGTCCTGTTTGGTGGCAGCCCCCTGTTCCCAGACTGTTCCCAGTGAGCCTTTGGTGACTATTTTCTTGAGAAACATGGTTGGACTTTAGGGCAGGGCAGGGTGAGGGTGTTACCCTGACTCTTCCCACTTAGCACCTTCACTTATTTCTTGGGCACAAGGGGTGGAGGAAGCCAGGGACCCTGTGGCCCTCTGAGCTCTGAGATGGTGGCTGTGCGGCTCCTGGTGGGACCTCCCTCTCAGGCCACCCCCTCTCAGGCCACCTCACTCTGTCCCAGACCTATCGGGACCACCTGGAAGGGCAGAAGCACCGGAAGAAACAGGCAGCTCAGAGGACGGGCACACCGCCCAGCGGAGGGCCCAGAGGGTCCCAGAGCCTGCACTGCGGCCTGTGTGCCGTGTCCTGCACCGGGGCGGACGCCTATGCTGCCCACATGAGGGGAGCCAGGCACCAGAAGGTATGCGCCTCTCAGGCCAGCTGTGAGCTCGGAGCAGGTGGAGGGTGGGGGAGAGGCGGTGGCTGTGAGTGAGCTCTCATGTGGCTGGAGGTTGAGACCTCGGAGTTAGGGTCCCCAAATCACATCCATGCACACACACTGACTGGCCACAGCCTGGGAGCCAAGAAGCTGCCTAGAGGTAGGAGACATTCGGTGGGAGCGCGTGCGGGTGTTGGAGAGAAAGCGGAACCAAGTCTGAGGGATGGGACTGCAGGCAGCTCCCGGCGGGTGGGGTTTTTGTTTTTGTTTTTGGGGGTTTGTTTGTTTTGGGGGGCAGGGTGGCTCCTCAGAATGCCACAGAATGCGCAGCCCTACACTCCCTCCAGCAGCCTGTTCAGTTTGTTTCCCAGACTTGCCCTTGGTTGAGGGCTCTGGGGTCCATTGCAGGTCTTCAAGTTGCACACCAGGCTAGGGAAGCCCATCCCCTCCGAGCCCACGCCACGGAGTGTCACCTACACCCGAGGCTCCGACAGCACCTCTGAGACCTCAGGCAAGCGTGAAGCTCACACCAGTCACAGCTCACACACCTCAGGCCGGCTAGCAGCAGCCAAAGGACCAACAGCCTCACCCAAGGGTACGGTCTCTCCAGTTCTGTACGTGTGAGCAGTGGACCACACCCACGGCCCCTCACTGGGGGATTCTAGGTTGGGCCCCACCCTTGACCACGCCCCAGCTTTTAGATATTTTGGGGGGTATTTTTGTTTGGTTTTTGTTTTATTTAGACAGGGTTTCTTTGTGTGGGCAGACTATCATGGAGCTCTTTCCGGCTCTGTAACCCAGAGTAGACTTGAATTCAGTTCCACCTGCCTCTGCCTCCCAAGTGCTGGGATTAAGAATTTACATTACCGGCCGGGCGTTGGTGGCGCATGCCTTTAATCCCAGCACTCGGGAGGCAGAGGCAGGCGGATCTTTGTGAGTTCGAGACCAGCCTGGTCTATAAGAGCGAGTTCCAGGATAGCCTCCAAAACAATACAGAGAAACTCTGTGTCAAAAAACAAAAAACAAAAAACAAAAAACAAAAAAAAAAAAAAAGAATTTACATTACCGGCCAGCTATATCTTGGTTTTTGAGACAGAATCTCGCTGCATGGCCCATGGTGATCCTCCTGCCTCAGTCTTACGAGCAGAGCATGTGCCACCAGCTCTGTGGAAACTTGGTTTGAATCAAAGGTCACTCCCTCGAGGTGACCCGTCTTCATCAGATGGTCGGTGGCCTGCTCTCCCCCCTGAGCTGTGTACCACATAGACCTGTGACACTGCGCCTAGCTTACCATGGCTGTGCGACGCCATGCTGCCCATGGCAGTTTCCACAGGAGGGAGGGGCTCTGCCCCTCTGGCTCAGATTCCCATGGCATTATGGGAAAGGGATGGGGAGAGCCCAGGCTGCAGCTTGCCATGGTCTCTGGCAGGGCCACCTGAGCTCCAGACAGTGCACAGCCGACCTGGAGAAGGGCGACCATCACACCCCAAGGCGGGGACCACCAAGGGACGCCCTGGGGAAGCCTCGGGGACCTGTGGGGACATTGAGCCAGTGGGAACAGAGTACGTGGAGGAGGTGAGCAAGGCTGCTGGACAGCAGAGTCCCAGGGTCTGCTGAGATTAGCGGCCCGTGGTGGCTATGAAGGTGAAGGCCCTGTGGCTCCCCGGGTGCTGTCAGACCTGCTGGTTCCCATGTCTGCCTTCCCCGCAGGGAGTGCCGACGGGCCAGGGGGTGGGAGAGGTCGGCCAGGCACTACCACCCTCCTGTCCAGCCCCACCACCTGCTTGGCCAGAGGGGCCCACTGAGGCCAGGCTGGGACACCAGAGAGCTACGCCAGTCCATCTCAGGGGGCCTCCGCACCCTGGCCAGCCTTTCCCTTCTACCCTGAGACCCTGGGTTCTGAATGCCAGCCCACGGAGTGTCCCTGCTGGCCATCATGCAGGCACCAGGATGGACAGTTCCCTCACGAGCTTCTGCCATTTGCAGAATCTTCTCCATTCAGAGTCCACTCCATGACCCCTGCCTGCCCGCCTGCCCCAGCATCACCAGGGTTTCAGTCGTGTGGGTCTGTGCGGAGTGACAGTGAACAGGTCTTCTCACCGTGTCCAGTGTAGGGCTCACCAGCTACAGCCAATCGTGGTACTCTGCCACTTGTCGGGGGCATTAGACAGAAGCCATGGGGACCAAAGAAATGCCTGGCAGCCAGCAGGGCATCATGGGATGTGGTGGAACTGGGGGAGGAAGGAACCAGAGGGGCAGAATCTGGGCTTCCAATGTCAGCTCTCTGGAATGACACCACCCTGCCAGCGCCCCCTCCCACCCCGCCCAGGAGGCTCAGTACCCTGGGCGACTTGGTGCCCAGCGCGTCAGGGCTGTGTTCTGTCCCAGGTGCGCAGTGATGAGGGGAAGGTGATCCGCTTCCGATGCAGGCTCTGTGAATGCAACTTCAATGACCGCAACGCCAGAGACATGCATCTGACTGGACGCCGGCACCGGCTGCAGTACAGGGTATGTCCAGCAGGGGCACCCAAGGCCAGAAGGACCATGAGGCGGGGTGTGGGAAGATGACTGGTGAGGTATTTGGAGAGAAGTGAGCCTAGCAATGGAGAGGAGCAGGGAGAAGGGGGCAGGGGCTGCAGGCATGCGTGCAGGCGTGTGCTGTGTGCGGGCGTGTGCTGTGCGGGCGTGTGCTGTGCAGGCGTGTGCTGTGCGGGCGTGTGCTGTGTGCGGGTGTGTGCTGTACAGGCGTGTGCTGTGTGCGGGTGTGTGCTGTACAGGCATGTGCTGTGTGCGGGTGTGTGCTGTGCAGGCGTGTGCTGTGCGGGCGTGTGCTGTGCGGGCGTGTGCTGTGCAGGCGTGTGCTGTGTGCGGGTGTGTGCTGTACAGGCGTGTGCTGTGTGCGGGTGTGTGCTGTACAGGCATGTGCTGTGTGCGGGTGTGTGCTGTGCGGGCGTGTGCTGTGCAGGCGTGTGCTGTGCGGGCGTGTGCTGTGCAGGCGTGTGCTGTGCAGGCGTGTGCTGTGCAGGCGTGTGCTGTGCGGGCGTGTGCTGTGCAGGCGTGTGCTGTACAGGCATGTGCTGTGCGGGCGTGTGCTGTGCAGGCGTGTGCTGTACAGGCGTGTGCTGTGCAGGCGTGTGCTGTGTGCGGGTGTGTGCTGTACAGGCGTGTGCTGTGTGCGGGTGTGTGCTGTACAGGCATGTGCTGTGTGCGGGTGTGTGCTGTGCAGGCGTGTGCTGTGCGGGCGTGTGCTGTGCGGGCGTGTGCTGTGCGGGCGTGTGCTGTGCAGGCGTGTGCTGTGCAGGCGTGTGCTGTGCAGGCGTGTGCTGTGCAGGCGTGTGCTGTGCAGGCGTGTGCTGTGCAGGCGTGTGCTGTGTGCGGGCGTGTGCTGTGCAGGCGTGTGCTGTGCGGGCGTGTGCTGTACAGGCGTGTGCTGTGCAGGCGTGTGCTGTGCAGGCGTGTGCTGTGTGCGGGCGTGTGCTGTGCAGGCGTGTGCTGTGCGGGCGTGTGCTGTGCAGGCGTGTGCTGTACAGGCGTGTGCTGTGCAGGCGTGTGCTGTGTGCGGGTGTGTGCTGTACAGGCGTGTGCTGTGTGCGGGTGTGTGCTGTACAGGCATGTGCTGTGTGCGGGTGTGTGCTGTGCAGGCGTGTGCTGTGCGGGCGTGTGCTGTGCGGGCGTGTGCTGTGCAGGCGTGTGCTGTGCAGGCGTGTGCTGTGCGAGGCGTGTGCTGTGCAGGCGTGTGCTGTACAGGCGTGTGCTGTGCAGGCGTGTGCTGTGCAGGCGTGTGCTGTGTGCGGGCGTGTGCTGTGCAGGCGTGTGCTGTGCGGGCGTGTGCTGTACAGGCGTGTGCTGTGCAGGCGTGTGCTGTGCAGGCGTGTGCTGTGTGCGGGCGTGTGCTGTGCAGGCGTGTGCTGTGCGGGCGTGTGCTGTGCAGGCGTGTGCTGTGTGCGGGTGTGTGCTGTACAGGCGTGTGCTGTGCAGGCGTGTGCTGTGCGGGCGTGTGCTGTGCAGGCGTGTGCTGTGCAGGCGTGTGCTGTGCAGGCGTGTGCTGTGCAGGCGTGTGCTGTGCAGGCGTGTGCTGTGTGCGGGTGTGTGCTGTACAGGCGTGTGCTGTGCAGGCGTGTGCTGTGCGGGCGTGTGCTGTGCAGGCGTGTGCTGTGCGGCGTGTGCTGGCAGCGTGTGCTGTGCAGGCGTGTGCTGTGCAGGCGTGTGCTGTGCAGGCGTGTGCTGTGCAGGCGTGTGCTGTGCAGGCGTGTGCTGTGCAGGCGTGTGCTGTGCAGCGTGTGCTGTGCAGGCGTGTGCTGTGTGCGGGTGTGTGCTGTGCGGGCGTGTGCTGTGCAGGCGTGTGCTGTGCGGGCGTGTGCTGTGCGGGCGTGTGCTGTGCAGGCGTGTGCTGTGCAGGCGTGTGCTGTGCAGGCGTGTGCTGTGCGGGCGTGTGCTGTGCAGGCGTGTGCTGTGCAGGCGTGTGCTGTGCAGGCGTGTGCTGTGCAGGCGTGTGCTGTGTGCGGGTGTGTGCTGTACAGGCATGTGCTGTGTGCGGGTGTGTGCTGTGCAGGCGTGTGCTGTGCGGGCGTGTGCTGTGCGGGCGTGTGCTGTGCGGGCGTGTGCTGTGCAGGCGTGTGCTGTGCAGGCGTGTGCTGTGCAGGCGTGTGCTGTGTGCGGGTGTGTGCTGTACAGGCGTGTGCTGTGCAGGCGTGTGCTGTGCGGGCGTGTGCTGTGCAGGCGTGTGCTGTGCGGGCGTGTGCTGTGCAGGCGTGTGCTGTGCAGGCGTGTGCTGTGCAGGCGTGTGCTGTGCAGCGTGTGCTGTGCAGGCGTGTGGCTGTGCAGGCGTGTGCTGTGCAGGCGTGTGCTGTGCAGGCGTGTGCTGTGCAGGCGTGTGCTGTGTGCGGGTGTGTGCTGTGCGGGCGTGTGCTGTGCAGGCGTGTGCTGTGCGGGCGTGTGCTGTGCGGGCGTGTGCTGTGCAGGCGTGTGCTGTGCAGGCGTGTGCTGTGCAGGCGTGTGCTGTGCGGGCGTGTGCTGTGCAGGCGTGTGCTGTGCAGGCGTGTGCTGTGCAGGCGTGTGCTGTGCAGGCGTGTGCTGTGTGCGGGTGTGTGCTGTACAGGCATGTGCTGTGTGCGGGTGTGTGCTGTGCAGGCGTGTGCTGTGCGGGCGTGTGCTGTGCGGGCGTGTGCTGTGCGGGCGTGTGCTGTGCAGGCGTGTGCTGTGCGGGTGTGTGCTGTGTGCGGGTGTGTGCTGTGCAGGCGTGTGCTGTGCAGGCGTGTGCTGTGCAGGCGTGTGCTGTGCAGGCGTGTGCTGTGCGGGCGTGTGCTGTGCGGGCGTGTGCTGTGCGGGCGTGTGCGTGCGGGCGTGTGCTGTGCAGGCGTGTGCTGTGCAGGCGTGTGCTGTGCAGGCGTGTGCTGTGCAGGCGTGTGCTGTGCGGGTGTGTGCTGTGTGCGGGCGTGTGCTGTGCGGGCGTGTGCTGTGCGGGCGTGTGCTGTGCAGGCGTGTGCTGTGTGCGGGTGTGTGCTGTACAGGCGTGTGCTGTGCGGGCGTGTGCTGTGCGGGCGTGTGCGTGCGGGCAGTGCATGGACAGGTGGGGGCTGGGCAGCTTTGCTCCTCATCGGTCCTGCAGGGGAGTCTGCAGATACTCAGGGCCAGGGCACATGAGAACCCAGCCTTGTGCCAGCCTTGTGCTTGGCCGTCAGGCTCCCCGTATGAGCACGTGTGGCTTCAACTTGGGCAGACAGAGCATGCCCGTGGTGGCTGTCTCTGTGGAGCTGCACCTGTGACCACGCCTGGTACTTGGTCAGCTGGACAGAGTGTGAATGTGAGTGGCCCATGGGTGACTTTTAGCAGTCTCGGTCACCTAACAAACGCCCCCAGCTCCTTGGCAGGACCTTTCCCGAAGTGCCCCATTTTGGCTGCTGTGAGCTGCATGTCGCCTGCTGTCCCCTGAGCATACCCCTGCATTGCTGCTCCGGTAGAGCTGAGTCTGTGGGAACAGCTGCTGGGGGCCAGTTGTGGCTCCTCTGTGCCTGTTAGGTGGCTGCGTCTGTCTGTCCCCCCCCCCGCATCACCATCTATCTGGCTTTGCCTTTGCAGAAGAAAGTGGACCCTGCACTTCCGGTGGCTGCCCGACCCAGCGGCCCCATGCAGAGGGCACTGGCCAAGCAGCTGCAGAGGCAGCGGCAGCTGGCGCAGGCGAGACTGGAGGGTGCACGGCGCTGGAGCTCTGAGCAGAGGTGACATGGTGTCCCCTCCTCACGGCCCGTCAGCCTCAGGCGCCCCCATCAACCTCTGATGCCCTGACCTCTGATGCCCCTGACCTCTGATGCCCCCGACCTCTGATGCCCCCAACCTCTGATGCCCCTGACCTCTGATGCCCTGACCTCTGATGCCCCCGACCTCTGATGCCCCTGACCTCTGATGCCCCTGACCTCTGATGCCCTGACCTCTGATGCCCCCGACCTCTGATGCCCCTGACCTCTGATGCCCTGACCTCTGATGCCTCTGATCTCTGATGCCCCTGACCTCTGATGCCCCTGACCTCTGATGCCCCTGACCTCTGATGCCCCTGACCTCTGATGCCCCTGACCTCTGATGCCCCCATCGACCTCTGATGCCCCTGACCTCTGATGCCCCCATCGACCTCTGATGCCCCTGACCTCTGATGCCCCTGACTCTGGAGTCTCTGCTCGCCACCCCTGACTTCACCCTTTTGACCTCTCTGTGGTGACCTGGTCCCTGGGGCTGGAGTGTGTCTGTGGGGTCATTTGGTGACCACATCCCTGTGTCCCCACCTGGTCACAGCAGACATCAAGAAGAACAGAGCAGGCAGCCCCAGGAGCCTTCACAGCCCCAGGTTGATGAACAGCCACCCGGATCACCCACCTGGGCCCTGCCCGCTCCCGCTGCCAAGCCAGGGATGGCCACCACCCGGCGCCAGGTGGGTGCCGGCTGTATCATGTAGGAGCCAGCTCAGAGTGCACAGGACCCTGAAGGCCATTCAGTGCGCTCACACCTGCCAGGCCTCAGGTCACCTGCGACTCCCTCCAGTCCTCCACAAATGTCTATCCTCAGGCTCAGTAGGGACCTAAGGCTGACCTCTTACTTGGGGACATGCCCCGGGGGCCTGGCCTCTGGCCTGCAAACGGATGGGCACTGCCAGCGGAGAGCTGCTCCACCCAGTCCCAAGCCCTGGCACATGTTCCCTTGTGGAGCTGCGGCAGCTGCTGGCCACAGCCGCCTCCCGCCTGGCAAGGCGTCTCCTCGAAGCTGCCTAGCCCGTCCACGTCTCCCACAGTCCCACGGGGCTGGCTTGTCCCCAGCCCACCCTTCATGACGGCTGCTGTCCCCACAGTCAGGGCGCCGGCCGGAGAGCAATGACGACCGGCATGTCATGTGCAAACATGCTTCCATCTACCCCACCGAGGAGGAACTGCAGGCCATCCAGACAGCCGTGTCCCACACAGAACGGGCCCTCAGACTGGTGTCAGACACACTGGCAGAGGAGAGCAGCCTTAATAGGTTAGTACCGTGCCACAAGCCACGGTGCCACGGGGTCAAGCTCTGTCCCACCCCATTGTCTCGAGCCCCCCAGGCTTCTCATGGAGAAAGTATTTCCCACCCCATGTATAGGGGCTGGTGAATCCAAGACTCAGGAAGCTGAAACAGGAGGATTGCTGTGAGTATGAGGCTAGCCTGGGCTACATGGTGAGCACTTGTTTCAGACATAGGTAGGTAGGTTGGTATGTAGATAAGTAGAAGAGATAGATCATAGATCGATAGATCATAGACAGACAGACAGCTCGATCGAAGATAGGTAGGTGTCTGGCCTCTCCGGTGGTGGGATTGCTTGCATGGGACTGCAGAGTGGGTACTGGGGAGGAAGGTAGGTTTCATTTCCCATCAGCCAGCATCCCCTGCAGAGGGGCCTGGTTCCTGGAGCTCAGGAGCATAGCATCCTCGGGACCCTTCTGTGACTCCTGCTGATGCCCGCTGCCTCTCTGTCTTCTCAGCACCCTGGTGCCTCCACCACCGAGGATGCTCAAGGGAGTGGTACGGGTTGGCATTCTGGCTAAGGGGCTGGTCCTGCGTGGGGACCACAGTGTGCAGCTGACCCTACTGTGTTCCAAGAAGCCCACACACTCTCTTCTACAGAGGATCAAGCAGGAGCTTCCGAGAGAGCTGTCGGTAAGAGTGAGGCTGGGCCTCTGACTCCCGCAGGCTCAGAGTGTGGAGAGACCGGCAGGGCTGGGGGCGCTCTATCGCTTCCCTCATACGTACTGGGATCTGAGTTGGAATCTCTAGAACCCATGTAAAAGCCAATCATAGTCTGGGTGGTGGTGGCCACGTCTTTAGTCCCAGCACTCGGGAGGCAGAGGCAGGCGGATCTCTGTGAGTTCGAGACCAGCCTGGTCTACAGAGTGAGTTCCAGGACAGCCTCCAAAGCCACAGAGAAACCCTGTCTCGAACAAACAAACAAACAACAAGGGTTAGGCAGCAACTGAGAAACAACCTGACTTCAGTCTCTGGCCTTGACACGCACAAGAAAGGAACCACTGTGCACCTGTTGTCCCAGGGACTGAGGGAGAAGCATGGCTTCAGCCAGGGTGGGGCCTGGAGTCCAGTGGTGAGCACTTGCAGGTGCTGGCCCCTGGTCTCAATTGTTACACGCACACACACGTGTGCACACACGTGCACACAGACACACGCACACACGTGCACACACACATGCACACGCCCCTGGGACTTTGTACTCGCAGTTCCGGGGCACCTTGACAGTTCCCTTCTGTCTGACCACAGGGTGACTGACGGGTGAAAAGGGCCATTTGTTTTCCTTCCTTTTCTGCTGGCATTTTGTTCATCCCCAGCTGTTTTTCTACCAAGGTGCTTGTCTTATTGAGCAACAGGTACTCTTTACATACAAAGGCTCCTCAGTGTTTCCAGGTTTGCTCCCGCTGTGGGTCTTAAGTCACATACAAACTCCCAACACAGGGCCGGGTCCTGTAGCCACGGGCACACAAGAGTGAACAGATGGGTGCGTGTGTGAGTAGCATTCCCGACTTGTCTACACTGGACTCTCTGCTGGAGTCATGTCATGTTTACACCCAGATAGTGGCAGAAGACAAGTATGAAGTCTCATCTGACCGGGATGCCAACATTGTTATCTCAGCCTGCGTGGGGCCGGGGGTGAAGGTCACTGTGTCTGCCACCTCACCTCTGATGCGTGAGGACCCCTCCGTAAAACGAGGTATGCCCCAACTTGCTGTCCTGAGTCTCCCGGGTGCAGAAGACACACCCTGCTCTGGGCAGGAAGGCCCAATGGCCTCGGTACCTGTGGGTCACGTGGAGGTCATGTGGGGTGGGATCTGGTGCGGCGGAGCTAAGGGCTGATGTATGTGCTTGGAAAGTCCTCTGCCACTGAGCCACGCCCCAGCATGTATATTAGGAACAGCGCCCCTCCCTGTGACCAGGCCTGAGGCCTGCAGGGCGGCCTCCTACTTTGATAGTCTGTTGCCTAAAATCAGACAGTATAGGCAGCAGCGTCTGCTATCAGACACACATATTGTAGGTGCTGGGCACAGTGTCACCTTCATCCCAGCGCTCAGGAACTGAGTGGGCGGGCTCTTCGTTTGAGGCCATTGTGGGCAAGGCAGAGGGACAGGGCCACGCTGTGAGGCTGAGGCTCAGCAGGAAGAGACTCGGTGTCCTGTCCCTTCTAGGATTGCAAGACTCTGTGTCCGACCCAGAGGATGTCCTGGACCGGGAGAGATGCCTTGAGACCCTGGCAGCCCTCCGTCATGCCAAGTGGTTCCAGGTCAGCAAGGGGTGCTGACGTGGGGACAGTCACCATCCACAGTCTGTCCAGAGTCCCACTGATAACTGTGTGTCCTCCCCAAGGCTCGAGCCAGTGGCCTGCAGCCATGTGTGATTGTCATCAGGATTTTGCGGGAACTGTGCCGCTGCCTGCCCCCGTGGGGGGCTCTGCCTGCCTGGGTGAGGCTGCAGGGGACAGCAGGGAACCACAAGGGGGACCAGCTAGGCCTCTGCTCAACACCCGGCTAACCCAGAATGGGCAGGCGGGAGCTTTAACGAGACACGTGTCACCAGGTCCCTCAAAACTTTCACGTTTGGCAGTGACCTTAAACGCCAAGCTGGGGGGTGAAGTCCAGACCCTTTGCAAATGTAGATGTCCCAGGGAAATGTGCTCTTGTCACACAGACCTGTCAGCATCAGGGTGAGGGGCCAGGGCATCCCCGGGACTCACCCCACATCATAGGACCTGACCTGTCCTGGTCACAGAAATGTACTGCCCCCATCCAAGCCACACTGTGTCCCATCATGCCCCCCCCCCCGTCCCTGTGTCCCCTTCAGGCCATGGAGTTGCTGGTGGAAAAGGTGCTGAGCAGTGCCGCCCGGCCCCTGAGCCCGGGGGACGCTGTGCGGCGGGTCCTGGAGTACGTGGCCACAGGTGCGCTCCTGACAGGTCAGTGATGGCGACAGGAACGGGTGGGGAGTCCAGGACGTGGGCACAGGACAGGGTCACCCCCACACACTGGACACACGGCGCCAAGGGCAGAGGCATGCCACCGTCCTCCAGGGACACAAAGGGTGACACGGGCAGGAGTCTGTCTGCCCAGGCGCCACCCTGTGCAGCCGCCACACCACTGGCTGCATCGTCGTCCATGGCTGGGGCACCCGGTGCCATCTGCGCCACGCCTGAGGTCCAGGGAAGCCACAGGACCATGCAGTAGCGACATGGGGCTGGGCACTCGCCGGGCCACCCCAGTGCTTCATGATCCGGCACGCACCTGCCCTGGCAGCACTTGGGAGGCTGGGGCAGGAGGGCCAGGGGTTCAGTGTCAGCCTCCGCTGCATAAGGAGTTTGAGGAGCACAAGTGTCACAGGCCTTCTGCAGGGTCCTGGAGGGTGGACGATAGGGGTCCCTGAGACACGGGGATTCTGAGTAGGAAAGGAGGTCAAAGGTCAGGCCTGTCGAGTGGGCCGTCACACAGACTGGGGCATGGGCACACGCACGGGTACCAGAGGCCAGGGGGACCCATGCAGTGCACCCCAGGCAGGCCTCGCCTAGTGTGTAGACACCGCATGGGCTGCATGCACAGTCACCTGCCATGGCAGGGTGGCCCGCTGTGACCCAACAGTCCCTCACAAGGGTGTCCACCTTCTCACTGGCTCAGATGGCCCCGGGCTACAGGACCCCTGTGAGAAAGGCCCGCAGGATGCCCTGGAGCCCATGACCCCACAGCAGCGAGAAGACCTAACAGCCAGTGCGCAGGTACATGGGCTCCCACCCTCCTCCCAGAGTCTGGGCCCAGGAGCGTGACTGGGGGTGACAAACAGACTGGCCACAGCAGCCACCGTGACCCCCCATCATATACAGGTCCCAGACTCCACCCCAGCAGTGGAAGTGGACATCAGAAGTTCAAGGCTATCCTTGGTTACATAGAGAGTTTGAGGCTAGCCTGGGCTACACGAGCTCCAGTCTCAAAGGAAGTATCCCAGCCACACATACTCAGTTCCACGCACTGCCACTTTCACAGGAGTCAGGTGTCTTACATGGAATTCGGGGTCCTTCTAGCCAGGAAGTACAGGTGGGATCCCAAGGGCTCCATGCCAGCCTGTGCCAGCAGCCAGAGGGGGAATTCCCCAGGCCACATGCCTGGCGCCAGAAATCGTAGCAAACAGTACAGCCCTGCTCCCTGGTCCCTGCACACCGCAGGCCCGGCTGGCTCGCACTAACAGGACCCCGCTGTCCACAGCGTGCCCTGCGTCTTGTGGCCTTCCGACAAATACACAAGGTCCTTCACATGGAACAGTTACCCCCACGGACCAGATTTGGGGCCCGGGCCCGGAAGAGGATGAGGGAGGCTAGTCAGGCCCACGTGGGCGCCGGGGACAGCAAGCGGGGCCGGCAGGGCGCAGCTGGGCTGCTGTGAGCCAGTCATCACCACAGACCTGAACTGGTGTGAGCTTCCTCCGATGTGGACACCTTTGCCACTGGGTCTGTAGATTTTATCCACAGTGCTGGGGGTCCCACTGTGGTGACCCCCATGCCCATCTGTCACCCCCCAGCCACATAGCAGTGATCTCCATTTCTTGGTACTAATTACATTTTGAAACTCCCCGATGTCATAAGAAGCAGGTAGGATCTGAATCGCTTTCTTGAAATGCCTGCAAGATTGTAGAAGTCACAGAGTGGGGGGGTGGAGGGGCAGAGAGCACAGAATGGGATTCCCCAGACCCCAGACCCAACCATATTCTTCACACGGACACCTTACTCCACCTCGGCTGTGAGGGCACAGATGGCCCCTGGGACGCTGTCACCCCACAGTGGAACCCCAGCCCCAGCCACTGAGTGCCTTCTGCAGACAGAGCCCCCTCCACCCCAGGTCATCCTGTGGGCCAGGGAACAGCTTGCCCCATTAAGCCGCCCCGAACCCCCTGGTACCACCCAAGGCTTCGACCCTGCTCCATTTTGCTGTGGCTTTTAAAGGCCAGCCCACACATGGCACAATGGCCAGTCTGTAGAATCATACAGAATTCGGCCGGGGTGGGGAATAAAGCAGATCTGTTCGTGTGAGGTGTTGCCTTCGTTTCCTTCACTCTGGGCTGGGGGGGGGGGGGGTGCCCACAGGTCTCAGCCTCCCCATACGAGGTTACATCATGAGCATGGGCGGAACTCCAAGTGCTGAGCTGCCTGGTGGCAGCCCCCTACACAGTCCCACACAGACTCATGGCAGCTCCAGCCTGGGAAGGTCCTGGGACTCTGCTAGGGCTTCCTGGAGGAGTTGCCTGGGAGTGTGAGGAGAAGCTCAGGCCCCAGGTCTTGGGAAAGACTGCCTTCCAGTTTCCTTCTCCTCCCAGTGGAACCCGGACTCTGAGCTCAACCTCCATCAGAGCCTGCAATCCTCCCTCTCAGCCTCCACCCCTGCCCAGCATCCATACCAGATAAATCCGATAAGCACCTCTGCCCGCCCGCCCCCCCCAAGAAAAAGTATTTGCCGAGGGCTGGATCTAGCTAGATCAGGCACACCTGGGGGACCAGAGGAGCAAGCCTCTTCCTGGCGGCACCCAGAGCCCGCATCTTTGTGGCAGTGCTTGACAGCTGGGCCAGCTCACAGGTAGAGGGGACTGGTGGCCACTACCATGGAGGCCAGGTTCAGTGAACGCAAAAAGCACCGTGCCCCGCCGCTCTGCACTGAGCCGCTCCACCAAGCCCACCCCTATCTCCCTGGGAAGACAGATGAGTCCACCCCAGGTGGCAAAGAGTTAAGTCGGACCCGCCTAGCAACCCCAAACTACGGAGCTTCTGCTGCAGCAAAATCCACATTTAGTGAGTTCAGTCCAGATGGAGCCTCGTCTGGGCCACGCAGCTCCCTGAAGCCACGAAGAGCTGTAGCAACTGACCCTCCCGCCCCAAGTCCTGTCCCTGCGGAGCAGGGGACACCTCAGCAGGCCAGCGGAGGGCCAGCGGCACAAGACTGGACCCCAGACAAGGCAGAAAACCGAGCGCCAGGGTGTTGAGGGAGAACTCAGACTGAGCCAGCGCTGTGGATGCAGGGGAGCGTTGCTAGGAGACAAGGTGAGTGTGGGCAGATGACGCGTGCACGCGTGTGGGCGGGACCATGGTCCTGGCAGGAGCGGTCATGACGATGAGCTGTGAGCACAAGGTCACTGCTGACCACAGGAAAGGTGATGACCACCGAGGCTCCAAGTAAGAGCCAGCCAGAGGCTGGTGTTCCTCGGGAGCAGTAATACAGTCCCCACCTCCCCCACCCCGTGTTCACTGACATTTTGAAAATAAAATGCTGCATGATTGTCACTGGTCAAAGAGACACCAAAGACTTCTCCAAGGAACAAATGGGCACACATGTTGTGGCCCAGCCACTCGCTGGAATATTATACAGCCATGAAGGGCATTCTGAGCCCTGCTCCAACGCCCTTGAGGACAGGATGCCCAGTGACATGGGCTACACACCACAGGGTTGGCGTCATCAGACCCAGAGAGACAGGAAGTGGTTCAGTGAGGGCCCTGGACAGGGGAGGGGTGGAGTGAGCGTGTGTTGGGGACGGAGTTTCAGTTCTGGACTGCAGTGGGAGTGAGTGATCTGGGCTGTGGAACTGAGGCGGGATGCAACGGTGACTTTTATGTCAGGCATTTGTTAAAATTTTATAACGGTGGCGCAGCCTTTAACTGCAGCACTCGGGAGGCAGAGGCAGCCGGATCTCTGTGAGTTGGAGGCCAGCCTGGTCTACAGAGTGAGTTCCAGGACAGCCAGGGCTACACAGAGACACCCTGTGTCAAAAAATCAAAGCAACAACAAGGTGTTCACTGCGCTGGTGTGGGGGTTAGACACCAACCCCAGGAGTGGGGGTTCTCTTCACCGCGTGTGTCACAGAGAGAGTGTGTAGGCATGGGACAGCCTCTGGGCCCTTCCTCCTGCTCCTCGTCCTGGTTTTTTGATACGACATAGGTGTGCGCAGGCTGTAAGCACGTTTTGGTCCCCATTTTTCTTTGGCAGTCATGACAGGAAGCCAACTCTTATCGACAGTCCTTGTTCTTTGTATAGTATGACCAGGAGTCCTGGGTCAGCCTAAACTACACAGTGTCAGAAAATCTAAGAAGGAGGGTGAAGGTTGACAGCAACTGGGTCTTGAAAAGAGCTTTGTCCTTCCCTGAGTCTGGGAGTCCCCCAGCATGAGAAGCACCAAGCAGAGCTAAATTTAAAGGCATGCTAATTGGGGCAGGAGGATCTGGCCAGGGATGCAGGCTGCATCTCCATGGAAACCAAGACTCTTAGGTGTCCCAGTGCCTTGATTGATGGTAGTGAATCCCAGGGCCTCAGTTTCTCCGTCTGCAAGGTAGGGACAATGCCTCCTCCCCGTACAGGGAAGCAAATGGCCCCTGACGCTGCTGTAGGTAGTGACTATAAAAATATGGAGAGCTGTCATCCCAGCACTCAGAATGTTGAGGCAGGAGCATGACGAGTTCTAGGCTAACCTCAGTTATGAGTGAAACTGTGTTAAAGAGAAAGGTTAGCACATTATATATTCATTCTTTAGAGTCTCACATAGTCAGCCCAGGTTGCTGAGGCTGACCTTGAACTCCTGACCCTCGTGCCTCAGACTCCTCATTGCTGGGATGGCAGGCACATACCGCTACACCTGCTATATACGGTGCTGGCGTAGAGCCCAGGGCTTCGTGCATGCCAGACGAGTGCCGTGCCCACCGAGCCCGGCCCCAGCCTCCTGTGACATCACAAACCCACTTAACACGCTCAAGTCTCGTGTCAGGAAACCAAGCTCCAGTAAACAGGTCAGCAGTGTCAGGTTTGGGCGAGAACTTCCTGGAAGTGAGATTTCCTCTGCTCGGTTACGGCTCAGCACATCTACCCCAGGCAGCTGTGAGAGCTTACAGCAAAGATGGGCCTTTAGTGTCCCTGGGATAACCACAGGCCCCGATAAGGAGAACCACACCTCAGATGCCTGCACCCAGTTCCACCAAGACCGGAGCACACAGCGACAGTTTATGGGGTTGGTTTTAGGCAGTGCCCTGTGTGTCCTGGTCTTTCCATCCTCCTGCCTCAGCCTCTCCAAAAGCTTGGAATTGCATGGCACACCCATCAACCCATGGGGACAGTGGCATTTTGGCACATAAGCTTTTCAAACTTTTTTTTTTGCAATAGGGTCTCAGTAGCCCAGGTTGGCCTCAGGTTTACTCTGTAGCTGAAGCTGACCTCAACTCCTGACCCTGTTGCTTCTACCTCCCCAGTGCTGGGATGACAGACCTGTGACACCACAGTGTGCCATCCACTGAGCCCCAGTCCCAGGCCTGTCTCGGATGGTTTCTAACTGTAGGGAGCAGAATAAACTTCTGTCCATTTGGCACAGCAGCAGTAGGAGGTCTGCCAAGACAGGGTGGGTGCTCCAGCCTCCTGCTCTGGCCTGGTACCCGGGTAGGACCGGCCAGATCCGGTCAGGAAACAGCACGACTGTCGGGCCACTACTGCACCGGCGGGCATCTCTTGTGTGACAGTGACAGCAGGGAGGGAGTCCCCAGGCCGGTTCCTGAGACTCAGACATGGAGTGTCGTCAGCAACAGGATCACCCAGGAGCAGAAGTTAGTTTGCAGTCTTTGGACCTACCTGGCCAGTGCTTCCTAAGTGGGTACCCACACCTGGCTGGGGACTAGTGATTAAACACTTGTGCCTTCCGGAAGTGTCACGTCCATCAGTGCAGGGCACGTCTGTGTCAACTTGTTCTCTGATACTGAGCTCCCTGCTCGCTTTTTAATTAATTAAATAGGTTATATTTATTTATTTATTTATTTATTTATTTATTTTTGAGGCAGGGTCTCTTTTTCCTCTGCCTCCCGAGTTCTGGGAGAATATTTGAGGGCCCCAAAGTAGGGCGTGCCTGGCCTTTCTGGAAGTATGCATCTGTGAGTGGCCAGGCTCGCAGTGAGGCTGGGTATGGAGGCTGCAGCGTGGAGGCCCGCTGTGAGCTGCTTGCCTTGATCGCCTCCCCAGACAGGGAGCTCCTACCTATTCCTTGCACTTGCGCGTGCGCGAGACATTCCGCATTCCCAGCCTGCCAGGGGTGGGCTACGGAAGGCCGAGGCTCAGCGGGGCCCCAGGGAACACCGGGCACCCAGCACCCAGCACCCAGCATCCCATCCGGGCTGCGCGGGAGACGGAGAGAGAGGAGACCGCAGCGCGGCCGGCAGTGCGGCCGGCGCTAGGACCCGCGGGGGCTCCGAGCCGGGTCCCCTCCATCCTCGCCCCAAAATGAGGAAGCGGAGCAAGTTGCTCCGAGTTGAGCCTTGGGGCGTACGACCCGTTGGCGGGGACCCTCCCGGGGTCGCGCCCTGAGCAGGTGAGCGCGTGCGAGCGGGTGGAGAGGGTACGAGCCCCAAAACGGTCCTAGCCCGGGGGCGTCAGATACCACAGCTATTTTTTTTTTCTTTTTCTGGGTGCGGCGTGCGCGTCTCTGAGTGCGCGCGCCCTGGTGGTCACTGCAGGGCCCGTGTGCGCCGCAGGCACACGCACAGGTGCCCACGTCTAGCCGGCGCCCGTGTCGCGCACACGCGGGTGTCCGGGTGGCACTTGTGCCCAGATGCACGTGCGCCTCTGTTTGTGCGCAGTAGCCGTGAAAACCCCACTGAGCCCGAGACCAGAGGCGCACCCCAACCTCCCGCCCTGCCAGCCACCAGCTGGGGACCCCGGCAGCCACTGCCTTGCAGTGCCTGCGCTGGGGTGGTGTGGGTCCTTCCAGATGCTTCCTTGGTGACCCCTGGTGACCCGAGGAGCGGCACAGGAGCCCGGCCTCCCCAGGCTCCACCCAGGGTCAGATTCCCAGGAATGACCTTGAGTCACCGCCCCTGCCCAAGGCCCAGGAAAGAGGAAGCGGCAGACCCAGCTCCTGGCACCATCCTCCCCAACCTCTACACACAGCCCTCGCTGCCACCAGATCCATCGGATCCCTCCACTCCTGCCTCTGGGCCTCAGTTTCCCTTCACGAGCAATGGCAGGTCGAGGGAGAGGCTCCGGGGTCTCCTGGCTGGCCTTTGATGGCTGGGAG